GGTAGAGCCGGGCGGTGGTAGAGGCGGGCGGTGGTAGAGGCGGGCGGTGGTAGAGGCGGGCGGTGGTAGAGGCGGGCGGTGGTACGGCGGCGAGGAGAGAGGAGGCAGGCGAGGAGAGGGGAGGCAGGCGAGGAGAGGGGAGGCAGGCGAGCAGGCAGGCAGGCGAGGAGAGAGGAGGGGCGAGCGGCGAGGAGGGAGGCTCGGCAGTGCGGCGCACCTGCAGCTTTCCCGCCGTCGGCACGGCAGCCCACTGGTCGACTGGCGCGGGGATGGCCTATTCACAGCTAGAGGTGTGAAGAGACGCTGTTCACGGCCCACTGGTCGACCGGCGCGGGGATGGCCTATTCACAGCTAGAGGTGTGAAGAGACGCTGTTCACGGCCCACTGGTCGACTGGCGCGGGGATGGCCTATTCACAGCTAGAGGTGTGAAGAGACGCTGTTCACGGCCCACTGGTCGACTGGCGCGGGGATGGCCTATTCACAGCTAGAGGTGTGAAGAGACGCTGTTCACGGCCCACTGGTCGACTGGCGCGGGTGTAGGGCGGCAGCATTCGGACGTGTCTCGTCCGAGAGCGGGCGTAGCGAGGAGAGAGAGGCTGTAGGGAGGAGAGAGAGCAAGCAGGGAGGGGAGAGAGGCGGCAGGGAGGAGAGAGAGGCTGCAGGGAAGAGAGGCAGCAGGGGGGAGAGAGAGGCGAAGGGAGGAAGAGGCAGCAGGGAGGCATCAACCGACAGGTCTCCGTAAGAGAGGGCGGTCGCGGCGTCGCCGAGGATGCCGCCCTTGATGTCCCACGGGAAGTGGATCCCGTTCGACTCTGCGACACGGGCGGACGGCTCGAGCCGGGCGGGGGCGGCGACGGCGGAGGACCGTGCGGACGTGGCGGGTCGTGATGGGCGGGGAGCGGCACGCGCGGACGCAGAAGCCGACAAAGGCGGCCATCGCCACGCGGCCGTGCTTGATCTCAGCGTGGCGGAGCCAGCCGACGGTCGCGTCGTTGCCCTCCGACCAGAAGTCCTTGTCGGCCAGCTTGAGAGGGTCCCAGAAGCCCATCGGGATCTGCGGCAGAGGAGCAGCGGGATCGGCGGAGGCGGGGAGAGGAGGCGGCGGGTGCGATGGCGGTGGCGGCGGTGGCGGCGGTGGGGACGCAGGCGGAGGTGACGGAGGAGGCGGCGACGGTGGCGGCGGAGGTGGCGATGGAGGGTGAGATTGGAGCAGCGAGGGATTATGCGTTGGCGGTGTGTGTGCGGTGGGCTGCGTGTGCTTTGCAGGCTTGGCGGCGGCGCAGCACGCGGCGTGATGATACCTGCTGCTCCTCAGCCAGAGCAATAAGCGTATCCTTGCCGGTGGCCTTCGCCATCATCGAGATGGATGGCGAGCCGCGGGGCGGCGCGACGCCGTGGGCCAGGCCGAGAGCGGAGGTAGAGAGCGACAGTGCTGCCATTTGTGGCGATGGAGGTCTGCAAGAGGGTAATTAGGGGGGGACCCTGAAGATTTAGTGGTCTGATGGAGGGCGGAGAGAGTCCGCCGATTTGAGGTCTGTAATGAGGCTGTGCCACCCCGGCCGAAAATCATCGCAAACCCTGTCAGCAGTCCTCCTCCGGGAATGAATGTACGTAAGAGCTACATACACTGAGAGAGTGAGAGAGAGAGAGGAACTGCTTCAACTCGCTCAAACCTGCGGACACAGAAGAGAATAGGTATTCTAAATCCCTTCCAAAAGCACCTCTCAACCCCGCTGCGGACTCTCTGAGCTTCATTCAATCCCCCTCGCCCCGCCGAAGGCGGACTGCAGTGGCTCTTACTGCGCCGCGCTGCGGAGGTTGCAAGCGCGATGCGCGCCGCCCCTCGCTCGCCCGAGCCGCTCGGAATGCGGGAGCGGCCACACATGGCTCGGCCGCCCCACCCCTGCGACATCGATGTCGAAACGGCTGGTGTGCCGTCTGCGGCGGCTGAATTGAAGCGTCGAGATTCCTCCGTGGCTCGGTGAAGAGGCGGTGGGCGAAGGCGACAAAGTGTCTGCTGTGTACCAGCACGTGGCTCCGTGGGCCCTTTGCGAAGAACGGCCCCACTCCGCCCCTTGACCACGGGAAGTACTCGGCGGCGTATGCACGGTACACGTGTCCCATCGCGACCGAGATTCGCGCAAAGGAGCGGTGCGCCTGTCCACCGTCGACAATCTCGAGGACGCGTGCGTCTGTAGGGAGCACATGAACGTTGATCATGGCGCCGCCATGCACACCCACCAGGCCGTAGAGGCCAGCGTAGTACGACAGCGGGCGTGGGTTGCTGCGTTTGCCCGTGTCAATCACGCCCTGCCGAGCCTCAATTAAACATTGGCGTGAACGAGAGAGGCCGGCAGCGCGCCGCCGGTGGGGTTAGTAAATAGTAAAATGCAGAGTCCTCTTCCTTTATGGCCCCCCCCCCCCTTCGCCGCCTCCCCTACCGACCCCCCCCTCGCCCCCCGGGCCCCCGCCACCTCAACCGCCTCTTTTGGGGTTCCCCCTCCTACCTCCGTGGTCCCCCCCCCCCCCCCCCGGGAGAGGTTTTCCAAACA